TTTCCATCTAGGTTGGTTTTTTACAACCTAGACGGAATTTCCGTCTAGGTTGACTCAATCTAGACGGAATTCCATCTAGATTGCCTTTTTGCAGGGAAAAAAAATTAATTAAAATTTGTATTTCCCTGTACAATTACATTAATATTTGAATACATCCAGAAAATACTATACACGCCACATTCAACCATCCAATCATAATCAAAATTCATAACAATTCCATTCAAAAACATCTATATAACCAAATCTAACACATTGTACAAATCCAACCATCCACTTCAAAATATACATCAATCAGTTCCGTCTAAAACACATCCAACAACATATATACTAACAATACACATGACTAAGATATGATACACGACATGAATAAATGTAGTGTTATAACAAATAAAACTGTTTATTGCGCATTAAAAATAAAAAAACCTCATCCATCGTCGTCGGCGGGGGTATCTCTATCCCGATTACGAGAACGGGTGCTGCTCCCTCCAATATCTCCACTCTGAATGTTTAATTGAATAATCATTATGTGGTGTTTGATAACATATTAGATAAAAATGAATTTATAAATATAAGAAAAAATAAAGTACCTGAGCACTACTCTGTCTAGCGTCGGAATTATCGCCAATCGAGCTAATGATCCGTATGACACCACCATACGCGCTATAAGGAATAGCACTGCCTAAATATTGTATAACATACCCCATGAGATCGTCCATCGAGTTCGCCGTCAGCGCAACTCTAGTCATCTCATTAGTCACCTGAATATGCAGCTCCGGGTCAATTTTGTCAATCAAATACGCAGAGATACGTGCGACAAATGGCATAGCCTGGAAACTGCTTGTGGCTGCTCTCGTCGATATAGATGGTGTGGAGGATGCTGTGGACGATCTAATGCTTATACCAGGTGAAGCTCCGACACCATGCAGAGGATATGTTCCTCTCCTATTATTAGGGAGAAATAAATATTAAACTTTGCTCTCAAATTCAATAATGTTAAACAAATATAAATAGTATGTAGTATTCAAATTGATTCGATTTTTCACCATCCTTACCTATTATGACCCATCAGGTTCTGTGTGAGATTGATGTTCTCCTCTGCAGAAAGCATGTGAGGGTCTGGCTCGATTTGTTCCTCCTCCTGCGAAATGTAGACTGATGCAGGCTCCTTGGATGCGGTCTCAAATCCCTCCTAAAGCATAAATTTATAGTTAATTCAAGATAATGATCATATTATTTGTGTTCTTGTTTCCTCGTAATGTTAACAAAATAGAATTAATAATACTACTCAAGATATGTATAAGTCTCACCACTAACTCGAGATTTGCCGTGATCTTATCCCGATTCCTCTCATCACCCCTATATTGTTCACGAAAAGTACCATATGCCGCTCTGGCCCTCAAGTGTATCGGCATTAATGATTTCCCCTGTCATATTATAAATTATGAGATTTCATAATCATACTAAACATTAAGATCTTTTAAATCTTTAAATGACATATACCGTATCTTGACAATAAACATCCTCCAGATTGGCGTAGGAGTGTGAGCCCAAGTGATGGTCATGCAGCTTCTTTCTTCTATTTTCTGACCCCTTCGTGGATTTATTCTTTAAAAAAAATTCTGTAAATATAAAATGAAATAATATCTTAAAATTATAAACTAAATTTCATGAAACTAACCTTGGCGGCATCGCTGTCCCAATACATGAGGAGAGCCGTGAAATGAATCTCGTCAACTCGGTCATCGAGGTTTAAAAACCTCTGCCAGTCCTCCTCATACCTGTCATAGGTTTCATGTTTGATCTCATGCCTCCATTGTTTGAGGACTGCTTCAACCTTGACATTAAACACATAATTCCAAGCCCCCTCAAAGTCCTCAAGGCAGAAGCAGTCCTGTAGATTTACATACACATTTAGTAAGGATAATTTAATATCAATTATTAATTATTAATAAATGAAAATCTAAAACAATATGCACTTACCATAAGCGCAGTCCATATCGCCTCGTATGCGGTCCATGGTAATTCTCAAAAATAAAAATAAGGGTTGATAATGGTCGCTCTACGCACGAGAACCCCAATATATGCATTCAATCGGGACGACCAAGGACCAACGGGCAAATTAGAACTATTCCACCTAATAATGGCTCTCATTCCTCTTGGCGGTTGTTTAGAATCAGGCTTACCTCCGCCACGTCGTCCCTCTATGCGATCCTTCTTAGCACCTACAATAATGACAACATGATAATATATCATATAATATACAAATGTGAAAATTAAAAGTATTTATATAATTTACCATTCGCTATCTCTCTTTCTTTTGCTGCGAGTGCAACAGCTTTCCTAGTCTCCAACATAGGAAGCATTTCCTGATACCTTCTCGCAGCACGTGGGTGGTACTTCCTTGAATCAGCCTTGGACTTATGAGAGTCCGGAGGTAAAGGTAAACTGAGAAAGTCCTGGGTCTTTGGCCGCAAGTCAGTATGGAATGTATATGATAGATATGTCGGGGTCCAAGTAGCACCTACATAAGAAAGAAGATTCATTAATATTAAATTTTAATTGAACATTATCAATTATTAAATATTTAATACCTACGTCGGGGGATGGTTCTGGTGCTGCATCAGAGGGGCCGGGTGATGAATATCCAGCATCTACAACAAATGAACACTATGAGCTAGATAACTAAAAATTTATAAAACATGTTAAAGTATTAATTAATTTTTATACCTGCATCCGGAGATGGTAGTGGATCATCAGCACCACTACCTGGGGTGATACTCCGTGAGCGATCACCCTCCAGGTCAAAGAGCCTCCTCATCCTCCTCCTCATCTGCAAATATAATAAAGACAATCGTTAAGAAAAAATTGTATACATGCTCATGAGATATGTTGTTATGAAATGCATTATTGTTTTTATTATGATAAGATAAAAATCGATAATGTGGTGTAACATATATAGTTCATACCTACATCCAGCGCCATATTCTGTGCGTAAGAGAATTATTGCCAAACATCATCAGATGAACCGATTGGTTCACTATAATTATCTTCACTTTCTTCAATATTTTTTTCATTGTTATTAGGAAGAACAACAGATCTTGGCTCCTTGTACAAAACCACCCAATCATACATGACATTCGGATCTTTCACATAGAAGCACTGATCTGCTTGTTCTGCGAAAATGAATTTCTCATTCGTATATACTTCTCGGTGAAGATTGACTAGTGTAAATCCATAATGATCCTTTTGCTTTTTTGCAGGACACCACCGAACCTTGAACATCGTGTAAGTACATTGTTTTGGTTTACCAAACCCGTAAATTACCTCAACGATATCTTCTAATTGGCCATAATATAATATGTCAGCTAGAATTGGATTCTGATCTCTTATACTTGAAAAACATTCTTGAGCAAACAAGCCCATGACCCCACTGTTCTGAGTTACCCTCCTATCATCTGTCTCTAACGTTCGAAATTTATATCCATTCACCAAATGCTCATTATAACGTCTCACTTCGTGATAAGGACGTTGTGCATGGATAATAATTTCATCTGGTAATGTAGTATCATCAAGAAGTGATTTTTCAACCTAAGACAAACAATTTGAGAATATTTAGGCGATGTTATATTATGAATGTTCAATAATTAATTGTAAAACACTTACATCAAATCTTAACCAATCAGAAAATTCTTTCCTATGTCTTTTCTGAATATTATGCGCTGCATTCCTAGCAGCCCAAGTATCTTATAATCATAAAAGTTAATTATTAGCACGGTAATTTGAAAAACGCGTATACAATTAATAAATATAAGAAAAATCGTAAATTACCTTTCAATCGGATACATCCAACGATAAGTAACAGGACCGGCGATTCTAGCCTCTCTTGCAAGATGCTGGGTAAGATGGACCATAATTGTAAAAAATGAAGGAGGGAATATTACTTCCATATTGCATAGAGTAACTCGGACATCAGCTTCAAGTTTCTTAAAGTCATCTACATCTACGACTTTAGAGCATAATTTTCTGAAAAATCCACAATACTCAATAATAATCTTCGACGCTTCTTTATCCATATTGTTACGGATTGCAGCATGGAGCAATTAATAGAGAAGAACGTGATAATCATGTGTCTTCAGACCTAAGAGTTTTCTCTCTTGCACCTGGACATTATTTGAAATGTTAGCAGAGTAACCATCCGGCGACTTTACCGATTTGAGAATTTCACAAACTCGTTGCATCTGCTCATTTGACATTGTAACACGAGACGGAGGCAACTTTAATTTTTTAAGGCCAACGTCTTGAGCTTGCAAATCATTTCGGATATTCAAAGCAGTCAGATCTTGGCGCGCCCGTAGATCATCCTTCGACTTGTTTGCATCTTGTAGGAGAGTTGATACTATGTTATCACATATATTTTTCTCAATATGCATAACATCTAAGTTGTGTCGGATTTTTAGATTCTGCCAGTAAGGTAGCTGAAAGAAGATACTAAATTTAGTCCATCCTCTAGGTAATGTTTGGGCTTCGTCCTCAACTTGCATTTTACGGACCTTTCGCTTACGCTTCAATGGCTTTTTTAACTTTAAGTAATCTCTTACTCCGAGCGTGTTAAATTTAGAATAGCGTTTTTTCCCAAACACAACTTTTGGAAACCCCTCAAGTAATTGAACGATCTCAGTACCTGTCAGTTGACGCGGCTTCATTCTTTTCTCAACTGTACCATCAAACTTAGCTGATAATTTTCTGTACTTATGACTCAAGGGCAACCACCTTCGATTAAACCAATAACAACTCTTTCGGCTATGTGGTAATTGAATAGCTTCAAATTCCGGACCACATACAGGACAAGCACACTTGCCCTTCGTGGAATACCCAGACAGATTAGCATAGGCTGGAAAATCATTAATCGTCCATAATAGAATAGCACGTAATCTAAACGATTCTTTTAAATGGGCATCATATGCTATATACTATGTACCTCATGTAATTTTTCAGAGTTCAATTACTAACATTGTGCCATATTTTCAGTATTGTGCGTCTGTTAAAAGTTCACTTGTAATGTAAATATTTGCATTCTCGCCTCCTAGAGTGGATGTTTCCTCACCTTCTCATCTAAATTTTTTTTTTCAGTAAGTTTAATTACATTATTGAAAGATTTGGATCTTCTATTTATTTTATTCTCTCTCCTTTCTCTTCTATTTTAAATTCACACCTTCATTTTTTTCTTTGTCATTAAACAGGGCTGGTTGCTTCTCTATACTTTGAATTTTTTCCTGTCAAGATGAGAAAATGTATTCCTTTTTCTGCCTCCCTACAAAGGAATGCAATAGCTAATGCATAAAAGTAAAGTATTATCGATTAAATATCCGTTGTAAACTTAATTTTGATTGGAATGTAAATAATGGAAAGCTCGCCTGTCAGTGTGGATGTATCATCAACTTCTCATCCAAAAGTTTATTCATCCAGACAATCCTTCAATATGCAATCAACTTGATTCTAGGTGATAATGCATGGGATCAACTACAGAGGTAAGTTCGATATCAATCTCCAAAGATTTTTATGTATTGAGTTTTTGTCCTTGACATTTCTCTTCTATTTTTAATTCACATCTCCAACTTTTGATGGAAAAATTATCAGCTCCATTTGCTAAAACCTATGTAAACTCAACTTTTTTTTGAAAACCAATGTGGATTAATTGAGTTTTTTCTCCTCTCCTTTCTCTTTTATTTTTAACTCACAATCTCCTTTTTTTTATTGTCAGTAAACATATCCAGTTGCCCAAAACAAATGAAAACTCAATTTTTATTCAAAATTAACGTTGATTGTATTGGATTTTTTTGGATTTTTTATCCTCCTTTATCTTCTATTTTTAATTCACATTTTTAATTTTTCTTAAAAAATTATCAGGCCAGTTGCAACATGAAATGCTAATTTCTTCATTTTGAATACCCAATTACATGCTCTGAACATCCAAGTTTATCAAATTTAATTGTATCATAAGCTAACACCTTTAAATGAATAAATGAAATAATAAATAATAAATAAATAAATAAATAAATGAAATTAAAAAGATGAGAATTCTAACCTTCAAATTTCTGATGCAGATGTATCAGAAACAATTTCAGAAGCTTAAATTTCTGATGCAGATGTATCAGAAACAATTTCAGAAGCTTAGTTTTGGTGTGGTGGAGAAGGAAAACAGTATACTGGGTGGTTGTGGGTGAGAAGTAAAAAACCAATTTGTAGGAGAGTGGGTGTGGAGTTGAAGGAGAACGTGGGAAGTTTCATGAAAATGTGGGGAGGTGGTTTTTTGGTAGTTGGTTATTTGAATGGGCATGTAATAAACATTTTTAATTAAAATACCTTATGTATTATCATTATCTATGGAACTGTTATTGTTAATTATAGATTTTTTTGTTGGTCTTAGGTGTTATTTTGTTAGATGGTTAGTTAAACGTGGGAATGTGGTAAACATTGTTAATTAAAAAACCTTACGTATTATCAACATCTATGAAGTGTTACTGTTCTTATAGTTTTTTTTGTTGGTTGTAGATGGTTATTTTTGTAGGTGGTTATTTAAAAATGGGATTGTGATAAACGTTGTTTAAAAAAAACCTTATGTTACTGTTCATTGAAGTTTTTATTGTTGGTTGAAGATGGTTATTTTTGTAGGTGGTTATTTAAAAGTGGGATTGTCAAATAAACGTTGTTAAATAAAAAATGTTACTGTTCATTATATATTTTTTGTTGTTCTCCTTTAGTAATAAAGAAGTAGATTCAAGACATGTATATATTCTTTGGTGATGCTTGAGAAATTTAACGTGTAATAACTTTTTATCTGCTCTCTGGATGTTTTTGATAATTTGCTTAGTTCCATACCTTTACATGCTCACCTTACCTATTGTATATACATAATTTTAATTTTTTCCTTGATTTGTCTTGGTTTTTTCTTTCTTTCTATGCTTATTATTAGATTTTTCCTTTTCCATTTTTGTATAAAAAATAAAATAAAAATTTCTCTTTTTTTTTGTTTTCTTAGAAAAAACTTTAGACATGCCTATGTATATGCTTTTATAAGATTGATTTAGATGATGCTATCTTTTGGTATATAGGCTTGATTATGTCATACAAGTTCACATATAGTTTTTCAATATATGTGTGTGCCTGTGTGTGCACGCACAAATATTACTTGATACTTTGTTTCATGAGATATTTCATGTTATATTTTCACACACCTATTTTATTATAATGTTTTGTATTGTGAAATAATGGTAAAGAGTTTTTTATATTCGGAATGATATATTTTTGGAATATGTCAAGAGTTTTTTGAGCTTGTCATTTGGCTTAACATAAGCACTAGGGATGCTAAAGTGTATCTATATCTGAGAAAATATTCGTAATTGTATCCATTAGGATACATATATGGTTACTCAAATCTCCAATCGATAGGATATGGTTACGAATACGGTTTTGTAGTGAAATATCGGGATCCGTATCCAAATAATACAAAAAGATATTGGTCATCTTATTACAATAGTTTTAATCCTAGATTATTGATTTGAGATTAATTTTGATGATCAAGATGTTTAGTCTTAGCTTTTCAAATATAACGAACATAGTCATAAACTCTTTTGCATCACATGAACTATATTTTTTACAATATTGTTTAGTTTTCCCATATTTATTTTGTATCCAAATAATATAAAAAGTTATAAAATATAATATAATATATATTAGATTATGACATATTTAATTAAATTAATATAATATAATAAAACCCATATTATATTAAAGTTAAATATCATAGTAAATTATAAAATATAGTTAAAAGTATAAAATATTAAACAATAAATAATTTCTATTATAATATAATATAAAATATATTATAACATATATGTTATATTTCATATATGATATTATTATGGTATAATATGTGTGCATGAAAATGGTCAAACTAGTATTGATCAAGAAACTTAAAATGATGTTTTCAAAACACTTTGAAACAAAAACGCAAAGACATGGTGTTTCTTTAGAAAAACACCATAAAAAACTCACAATGGCGTTCAAACGCACCTAAGGATGTCATGGATTTTAAACAATGTCATAAATCCAAAATACAAATCCATCGTCCAATAAACCTCTAACCGGAAAGGAGCGAACAACAAGTCATGGGTCTTTTGAAAAGTTTGAGATTTTTTTATTTTTATTTTTATTTATTTTTGGATAGTTTAGATGTTAGCCCCTCAAATATTCAATTTATATTAATCCATCAAATCTCTGAGATTTCTCATACGTCCATCAAACCCTAAGGGGTATTTCAATTTGGTCGCTCAACCGTATCTCCACTAAAACTCTGAAAATTCAAAAATAGAATTCAAATCTCAAATCATGATCAAATCCTACTCTAATTCAAAATCTAAGATAACCCCATCACGAAGAATCTAGATGCCTCAATAATCCAATCAAATATCCTATCTACAATCATATAATAGATTTAGAAAATGAAGACAAGATGAAGGTTATCGTATGCGTTAGCTATATTCTAATTTTAATTTTAATTTTGAAAGTCGTGTTATATAATAATGTTTAGATAGTAATCAATATTGGAAAAAGATTATATATTATCGTATCGAATTATAAAAATTTTACTCTCTTACTAAAATTCTTGGATCCGGATTCGTCCATGTTCATCAAAACAATGGCTTGAACTTCGAGAGGTCTGTAGGCATGACAAATGCTTGTCATTGAGTATCAAAGACCCGACTATTGGTCCAATAACCGTCTCCCTCAACACATTTAAGTTCTATTGCATGCTTAGATATCCTAATCATGTCATCACATGATAACCTCCTTATTGCTTACACTGGTAACGTACACTATTACCAGGATATGTAACATGCAACTAATAAGCCTAACTTCTACTATGCGGCACGCGTACTCTTCCGACTTTGTATTTATTTATTTACTTTTTTTTTCCCCTTTTCTAAACAGAGAAATCTATCTATTTTCCTCACATTTTACACCGAACTGACTTTTTGGCCAATAAAAAACCCACACCATCTCCTCCATATCACCAAGAGTGGTGTTAGGGGCACACGCTCTACCACACCACCAACCACACACCCTTCTCCCATCGCTACAGTAAACCGGGCCTCACATGGGATTTTAAAAATTTTAAAATCCCATGTGAGGTCCGGTTTACTATAGCGATGGGAGAATAGGGTGTGGTTGGTGGTGTGTTAGGGGGTGTGCCCCTAACATTATTTTATCTCCACTAGGGGTGAGCACGGTTCGGTTCAAACCGAAAAAACCGACCGAACCGACCCGAACCGACCCGAAAAAAACGGTTTTATGATGAAGGCGGTTCGGGTCGGGTTGATAATTTTTCAAACCGACCCGAACCGAACCAACCGAATATATTTGTGCCTTTGATTTGTGGGTTTATTGCTGTGTTCGATCACCATGAATAGCAGTTGCATGGAATTGATTCATACATAACCAATGTTCTAATGAGTCAGCTCTTTTTTTTTGTCTCCACAAAGACCAAAGTCAAAGCTTGCTACACAAAGACAAAGCAAGTCCGTTACTAAAAAATTACAACGTCAGAGTCTAGTATTTAATCCAAAATGACAAGTTACTTCACTTAAAAACAGTATACATACATGAACAAGAATAATAAATTAAAGTAAAGTTAAAAAACAAATACATGCTGGCATAGGGTAATAATAATATATAAAAGATAAATTGAAGTGAAGTTATACTTGATGAAGTTAGAACCGAACAAACCGAACCGAACCGCACCGAACCGATTTGTAATGGTTCGGTTCGGTTTTGAATTGTAGGTGGTTCGGTTCGGTTGTTCAAATTTTGGTAAAAACCGACCCGAACCGAACCGTGCTCACCCCTAGGCCCTATCTCTGATTGACCCATCCCTGTTTTTTTCTTCTTAAAAGATAGCACAAACTTCAACCAAAGATTCCATCAATAATAGAGCCCAAAACTTTCCTCCGTCCCGTTTTTTGCGGTACCCACGCTTAAGTCACTTAACAACCCAACGACAATGGAAACAGCCTCCGTTATCTTATCTAGCCTTTGAATATTCACTAGATTCCAAGAGCACCCGATTCCCTAAATCCAGTAAACCATGATCGCGTTCCGACTCTTCCCATAATGCCCCCGTTACCGAGACCCACCCATCCTCTTGGAGAAAATTAGTGTCCAACAGGGGGATTAAAAAGCACGTGCGTGTACTTGGTGAGTAATAGGTCTAATTTATTATTAGAAATAGCGCAAAATATAGACAACTTATCAAATGTTCTCCGGTTCATGATGTGTAATATGCACCAAAGAGATGTCAACAGTTGGATCATTGAACTTTGAGAATTATGCGCGGTCCAATGGTTGACATCCATTCGGCGAACATTGAATGTCATAAACCGTCTCCTCTGAATATGTTCTTGTGCAAAATAACCGGTTCATACTTTTTAAAGTATAACTTTCTAGTTTTACGCTAACTTCTTGATTTGCTTTTGTTCCCCCCATAAATTATTTGCATATGTTCAATGTGGTCGCTGATTAAACTAAATGTTTGACCATATGTTATAATATAATCACATTAGGCATATGCACACAATTTAAGAGGGAAAATAGGCAAAATGATACTTTAATGAAAATGTTGGGAGTTCATCAATAATTTCAAAAAGAATTTAATCAATTTATCCTTGAAATATAATAGAAAAGAACTCTTATTTTTAAGGAAAGAGGGTAGTTTTTTTTATTATAATCTTTTTTTATTTGCCATTCTCACCTAGGAAATCAAATGTGTTATATGAGAGGAGCATTTATAGTTCGATGCAAATTTAAAGATGAGTCATAAAATGCGTAACAAAAGTTTTTTTTTATATATATAATAATAGACTCCATATTACATAACCTCAACGGTCAAACATTGACTTTCTATTCGGCATAATAATGTTTTGATCACCCTATTCGGAGTAGCAAAAAAATCTGTTCTGACTGAACTTGATATGAAAGATTCTATTACCTAATAGACAGATATTTTCTAGTTTTTAATCTATTTTCGGCAAAAAACAATTTTTTTATTTTTTTTATTTTCGAGTTTAGAAAAAACTATTTTTACATAGTAGAGAGTTAGAGAATACACAAATCCTAATTTATTGCCCGAGATCATTTTATCTATGTTTAACTATCACTTTATCTCACCGGGTAGATAAACTGCCTATTGAGTAGTACTTCAAATTTTTAGATTCTAACGGATCATAGAAAAATTTCCTCTCGTAAAGAAACTATCATTTTACCTATGTTCTCTTTTTTTTTTAAATTTTTTTTATTCTTTTTATAATTAGATCTGATGGCACACCTAACAAAGGCTGCATGGCTATTTCTTTTATTGAAAAAAAAAATCACCAGCCACTCACCGCGAGAATCCAGATTCGAACGGGTATCGGATCCCATAAACTCTTGCTCTGATCCCAAATCCTACCAAAAATACCCACATCAGTGGTCCCCATCCTTCCCCTTTCGGGTAAAAACAAGGGCTTGCAAGAACCAGGTGCACTTAAAGCCCTTCCACCCTGAAAAAAACATCCAATTTCCCCTCCATGATATATATAAAACCCCAAACCCCCGGAAATCCTCACTCCCCCCCAAAAATCTCGCCCTCCAAAAAAAAAAAAAAAAACAACAAAGTGGGCCAAGAAATATAACACCCCCACCCTTCAACTCCTCCGGCCGCCGGCGCCTGAGCGCCTCCGCCAGCCCAAACCCCCGCAAGAAGCTAACGACTATCCCCCTCATCTTCCTCTCATCTGTTCTTCGAGGGTTCTCCGGCGGCCCGTACCGCTGATTCGAAGCCGGCGGTCCTCGCCGCCGCCCTCCTCTCTGATCTCGGCTTCCTCCTCTTCCCCTTCATCTGCGTCCATCCTGAGGCCTGATCACCGCGAGCTCGCCCACCGCCCTCCCCGGCAACGGGGGCTTCGTCCTCTGGGCCCACCGCGCCTTCGGCCCCTTCCCGGGCTCCCTCATGGGCACCTGGAAGTTCCTCTCCGGCGTCATCAACAGCGCCGCCTTCCCCGTCCTCCTCGCCGACTACCTCTCTCGAGTGATCCCCTCCCTCTCCTCCGGCCTCCCTCGAACCCTAGGTATCATTTTCTCCAACGCCGTCCTCTCCGCCCTCAACTACGCCGGCCTCACCATCGTCGGCTACCTTTCTTTGATCCTGTGCTTTGTTTCGCTGCTGCCGTTTGTGGTGATGAGCGCCTGGGCGGTGCCCAGGGTTAGGGTTTCGAGATGGGGGAGGATTGGGGGGAAGAAGGACTGGAGGGGGTTCTTCAATTGTTTGTTCTGGAACTTGAATTTCTGGGATAATGCGAGCACGATGGCCGGGGAGGTGGAGAGGCCGCAGAGGACGTTCCCGAGGGCGTTGCTGGGGTCGGGGGTGCTGACGGTGTTGGGATATTTGGTGCCGTTGATGGCGGTCACCGGAGCTCTCGATGTGCCTCAGGAGGCTTGGGGGGATGGATTTTATGCTGATGCTGCAGGTACCAAGGTTTTTTTGCCCTTTTTTCGATTAGAAGCAATCAAAATTTAGAAACTCTGCTTGGCGAAGATCGAGAAATTGGTGAAAGTAGAAGTAATCAAATTTAGAGTTTCTTACTGAAATAATCTATAGCTGTCATAGTGGCGTAGCCACATGCAGCTTGCCCTGGGCAGCTGCCCAGGGCAAGAAAATGAAAATTTATTCTTTATATATGGTAAAGTATCTATCTCTTTATTCTACTCATCCACACAAACTATACTGTTATAATAAAATCTAAGGATCAAGGATATAAAGATAATTTGTCTCATTATGGTTGTCTTTTAGCATAGAACTGTCACATATTTGGATGAATATGACAATGAGATGCAACTTAAAACAACTAAATTTTTTTGAGTATAAACTGAAAATGTGAAGATGAGTTGCTATCAAATTACAAGCCAGTTTCTCGACAATGTGTTCCCCAAACGCAGCCTGACGGTGCTCGACACAATCGCCAACATCGGTCTCCTCTACTTCGTACACAATCCCTTTATTTTTCGCCCAGGGCAAAAAATAATCCTGGCTATGCCACTTGCCACACCTTAAAAATTAACAATGGTTCTTACTTGGCTAGATTGAGGGGATTCAGGTTGTTTGATTGAGATTGTTGCAAATGTTGCAAGTGGCAAGCAACCAATTGAGATAATAGAAATAGTCTGTTACCCAAGGAAGTGGTGATATGGATATACATTAAAGTCAAGAAATATCTTGTGAGAGTGAATTTGAGTCCTCTTAACTGGTAAGTAGAAACTCACGGTCACGGTTATTCAATCACAGACATTTATTATTTAATAAATGGTAGTCATTCACTTTAATTTTAATATTTATCTTATCTCCATGATTATGGTCCATTTTTACTTTTTCACTCAAAACGAATCATAACTTGCACTAAATAATAAATAATTGTCATTGGAAGTGTGGTATCTACATTGACAGTATATAGTACCTGAATGCTTTGAGAAAAACTAAGTTAGGTATTATTTATAGTCTTAAATAATGTCTGTTTCTGGATGTACATTATTTGATGACTTTTCTTTTTGCCCAAATAATGGAGGAGTCGATGTACTTGACTTCCCAACTTACGAGTTGCCAAAATTGCAAGGCTGTAATGTTGTTATCGTTGAATAATGTTTTGTCATTTCCTCATCATTCTAATTCAACTTTATTTAGAGATCTACCTCTCATTCAATTGATTCTTGTCTCTGTGTGGTGATGTTGAATATTGCAAGTAGTGCCACCACTTGGTCATGGACAAGAATTGAAAATGAAATGGTGTTCAAGTCCTCACAGGGACTATTACTTGAGAGAAAAAGAAAGAGGAAACCTAGCATGGTCAGAAAAAACAGGTTTTATTGATTTTCCTGACATTGCTTTTCAGTGTTGTTTACAATGAAAACATCCCAAAAAATTAAGAAATTACTTTCAACATGAGACTTTTGGATTCAAATTTATGAAGGTTTCACTTCTTAATCACAGCCTATTGCCGGTGTTTAGACCACTTGTTATTTAGGTAACAGTGCAATACATTAACTGCAGAGTGTTAAATTTCATTAGAGTGACTTATAGTTGACAATGGTTGCAATAAAAAAAGCAATTATTATGTGTATGATAACGTTTGCAATAAAAAAAAAGTAATTCTTATGTGTACTTCTCAATTGAAAATTCTATTTTCTTTGTTAATCTCATTCTTTTGTTTTGCCATAAGCAATTGTTTTAACTAGACTAGCTATGAGAGAGCTAAGATGGAATGTGTTATAGAATTTGTGGACTGTAACTATCAATGCCATAACGTTAGTGAGGAAGCTCAGAATAGGATATAAGATAATTATGGAAGCAGTAGATGTTACTTTTAATACATGTTTAAATTCTGTAAGGATTCTATGAGAACTATACAAACTAAGTATTAAAAATTAAAATGGAAGGGTTGTCTAAGTAACCTGAAAAATCTAAAAGTTTGACCATATACATATCCTCAATACATATCTTTCATTCTTGCATATAAATGAATTCTTTAAAAGTGTTTATCCTATTAATCATAAATAATTGGATTGATTGTGGACAGACCTTCTGTACTCTCGCCTTATTGCAGATAGGCCCCCTAAGTTCTATTGGTGCCGATAGACCACTGTACTATTTGCTCATGTGCGGATAAACCTCTTGAATAGATTTTTTTGTGCTCTTAAACGAGTCAAAAATTGTCACTCAGGGGGTCTATCTGCACAAATAGAAAAAGGGGGTGTACCCGCACTTGGCCTATAGTACAGGTGGTCTATCCACACTTAGCCCTAAATAATTTTCTAAATTTGCTTTTCAGAAATGATAAATGTCAATGTCACTTTGGTTTCCCTTGCAAGCGGAGCAAGTATTAACAAAGTACAAGAAAAATCTTCATAAAATGAATTCGTTATCCTAAAATGAATTCGTTATTCCGTAGATGCTGAAACAAAGTGTTTCGTGGAGATGAGTGCCCTATTCATATGTAAAGCTTAACTGTGGTCAACCGTGTGTTTTAGACATTCTAATGAAGCTCCACAAAGGCTTGAATGATTTATTCTTATTCATGTGTTATTTTATTCAGCATCCTTATTCCCTTCTCCCTAGGCCCAGTTGCCAACTGCCTGCTACTCATTTTATCATCTAATCTTCATCCTGAATGTGAGATACCAACCAACTCTATCTTAGGAGTTAACTGATTACCTGTCCCATGCTAGCACAATATCTTCAGATAATCGGACCACCTTTCATGCCATTGAACTAGCTAACTATACCTGCCTAGTTTGTAAAACAAATATCTTTTTCTCCACAGTTTACAAGCCTTTTTTCAATCTTTACCAGCCTACTTCCCAAGCTGCTCTGGTTGCTAGGCACATTAGAGGTGGTCTGCCTGCTCCTGGATTATTGATTTGCAGATGAGATCCGAAAACTTTTTGTTAATCCCAGTTGATCTGCTACTCAAAAAACTACAGGCTGAGACTAAGTAGACATAAATTGTGGTTTTCTATCATTCATAATTGAGTGCAACCGATCAAGACTTAGTTTCGAGCTGTTAGGAAGGAGGAGATAAATGGTATTGGCCCTATTGTTCATGATGTTCACGTTTTAGCCCTCCGAAGTGCGATTGTTCAACCAATGTTCTTCTTGTTGCAGAAGCCATACCTTCTAATGCGTAACTTTGAATGTTGTTCCTGTTATTCCCATCAATATGTTGCAAGCAAAACTAGTTAAGGGTGTTTCTTTATCCAAAGGAAGATTTCCTTTTGGATCCACATTTTCCATGACGGTGAAGCTTCAATTTACATATGCTAACATCTTCATGTTCTTGACTTTAAAAATGAAGAAAACTTCTAAACAGCATGAAATCTATTGTTTGAAAATAAGGCTGAATTAATATTAACAACAGGCTCTCCACCATAAAGACTAGAGGATTGACCTAACTTGCGTTGGCAAGTAAAAGAAGAAAAGAATAGAAATGATAACCTGCCTACTATTATAGTAAATTTGGAGAATACCGAAATGGTCGGCCCTTGTTTTGGATAACTGCATCGAGATTTTTTTTAATTTTCTTTTGATAATTTTATTTCTCAATTTGGATTTCTTATGATGTAATCTAGGATTTTAGCATTGCTTCCTCATGGTCTGGTGTTAGAGTCAGTCAATGTCAAATATTGAATTTTTGTTTGTACTGTTGAAGGGGGGATGAATTTTCATAGATTAAGGTAGGTTTCTTAGGATTATACAAGTTTTTTATTTGAATAAAAGGTCCAATCTCTGCTTAACTTTTGTCTCTCCGCAATTTGCTGTGCTATGATATTATTCACTGCAACAGTTTCTTTTTCTGCAAGGTGGTCTCCTTTTGTTTCAGCCTATTCTTGCATCAGTTGGTTCAATGAAGGGCTTTCTTTATTTTGTTTGTTGATTATGGAGGTCAACTATTTCCTCCAAATCGACTTAATGGAAGATGACACTTCTCCTTGTTTAAGTTAAAATATGACGGGGTGACCAGGGTGAGTCTTGCATAGTCGATATTGTCTATGACAGCGATCATATTATATTGATGGTCTTGATGGTGGGATAGCATTGCTTTAGAGAGAGAACTGTTATAACTGGTGCCTAATTCCCAGGTACTTACTTTAATAATGAAAACGCGCCCATATTAAAGATGATCCTTGAAAATACTCCTATAACTTATGAGAAAGATTCATAATGTATCACAGGCATATCAAAGATCTACTAGATATGTATCCAACGCTTAGCGATTAAAAAACGATGCATGATTTGCTGATTTGTAACTTGACTAGTAGATGCATTTAGATAATTTGCTAAACTTTCTAAACCAAATTTATGATTGATGTAACTTGATGCATGACCAAAGCTTTTATCTCCTTTAAAAAACAGTTATAGCCTTACAAATCCATATTTATAAAGAAAAAGCATTAATGTGCACACATTTAGCAAACGTGTAATTTTATTATGGCCGTATTCATAACATTTTTTGTACTAGGTTTTTGGTACTTATCGTATTTGTGTATTTACATTTGTATCGTGTCATACCAACATCATGTGTCCATACAACTATGACCTTTCGGTTAGTTTTGTGATACAGTTCTGATCTCTTCTAGCGTTGCCACTACAATTTAATCTATAAATAGGCTACCAGGCTACAACTATAGGAGAGTGATGGCAGGTGCGTGGTTTTTTCTTTTTCTTTAAAGATTGCTCTAAATCCTCTACCTGAGTCTGTCATGTTAGAGGTTGATGAATGTTTTTCCCCCTTTGATGTACTTATTGAGTGGGTAAATTACACTAAACCCCCAAGAAATTTCAGCATTTTGCAGTAAACCCACAATAACGTTCAAAATCATATCAAATCCCCAAGAATTTTGAGTAATTTGCAGTAAGCCCCCAATAGCTTTCAAAATCAAATTAAACCCTCAATAAATTTTGCGAAAAACCTCCAAAGTTAACATTGTTACATCTGACAGGATGCGTGCGACTCATATGACTTAAAAAGACCAAAATACCCCCTTAAAATATTGAAAACCCCATTTATGACCTTTTTATATTTTAAACCCTAAAAACAAAAATTTCTTGTCTTTTGTCATTTGTTTCCCTCTTGCGTGTCCAAGTTGGGGTCCCAAACCCTAATTGTATTTATTGTTTTTTTTTGTTGCTGAAATTGTCCTTCAATGTCTTTTTATGTTGTTTTTTGGGTTTAATTTATGGGGATTACCTGCAAAATGCGGAAACTTATTGGATGTTTTTTGCAATTCCAAAAATTATTGGCAGTTTAGTGTGATTTTGAAAGTTATTTTGCGTTTACTACAAAACGCCTATAATTCTTGGGTTTAGTGCGATTTTTCAAGTTATTTGGTTGGTTTACTGCGAAACACTAAAAGTTCTTGGGGTTTTAGTGTAATTTACTCTTTATTGAGTATGAAAGTATATTGGTTCCTGTAGAAAGGATGTGCATTTTTATACTGATTACTGTGGGAAGGATGTGCATTTTTAGGCCGACGGATGTGTCTTGTCAGTGAAATTTGGGACCTAAGGAGATGAGGAACAAAGCTGAAGATTCATATATGGCAATACCAATAATGTCAATAGTATAGTGACAATGAAGAAAGGACAAATAAGATGGTTAGCATTTCTCTAAGGACCTTTCTGCTACACATACTGATGAGTGATGAACTGAAAGACACTTTTTGAATTGCTAAAGGATCAGATTGCTGCCAGCTTGAGAACCTGTTGGCAGATCCACGGATGCGGTTTTGAGACAGAAGAACTAGTCAATCTTGTACTGGGAAGTTTGGGAAGAAGCTTAAAAAGAAAAATAGAGAGTGAAACTAACAGGATCTGTCAGATATTACTTCAGGAATTTCTTAAAATACTGTCACTAGTCATTTGGCAGCAGATTATGACCTGAAAAATGGGTGGTTAGAAGATATATAAAAGAGAATTACAAGGAATTCAAGAGTGATCAAGGGATCACTATCAAGAACATAATACAACCTATAGTATGTCTATGCACCTGAAAAATGGGTTGTTAGAAGATATATAAAAGACAATTACAAGGAATTCAAGAGTGATCAAGGGATCGCTATCAAGAACATAATACAACCTATAGTATGTCTATGCAATGATAGTTCTTGAAATATATAATTTATTTGTTTCTTTAATGATCATCCATTGACTTTCTTGGATATGTGCATATCCTGATGGTAAGTTTCTTGTATCAATGTAGGTATGATTGCTGGGAAATGGCTCAAATATTGGATAGAAGCAGGTGCAGTGCTATCAGCAATAGGTCTTTATGAAGCCCAACTCAGCAGCAGCTCCTTCCAACTCCTGGGAATGGCTGACCTAGGTTTCCTCCCTCGAGTTTTCGCAGCTCGATCCAAGTGGTTCGATACCCCCTGGGTCGGCATCTTATCTTCAAGTCTCATCACCCTAGCAATATCGTTCTTGAGTTTTTCAGACATAATTGCTTCTGCCAACTTCCTATATAGTCTCGGAATGATTTTGGAATTTGCGTCATTCTTGTGGCTAAGGAAGAAGCATCCAATGCTTAAGAGACCTTATAGGGTGCCCATGGGAATCCCAGGCCTCATTGGTATGTGTTTGGTTCCTTCAGGGTTTCTGATCTTTGTGATGGTACTTGCAAGCTGGAAGGTTTTCGTGATTAGCATTGGATTAACTTTTGCTGGTATTGGAGCGTACTATTTTATGGAGTTGTGTAGAAGTAGAGGTTGGTTAGAGTTTAGTAACGGGGAGGATGTTGGTGAAGAGGAGGGAGTGAGTGACAAAAGATGTGAAGCATGATGATAAAAAGAAAAGGCGCAAATTGCCTTCCATTAAGTTATATAAGCATATTTGGTATACACACAGTCTCGGGGTACCAACTTGGCGAGTGATATGAATCCATGAATGGGAATTTCAACTCAAGAAAGCACAAAAAGAGCAGTATATGCTTTAAATTTTAGTGTGGTTACAATTTTGTTTGAAATTACCGTGTTAGATGTGGTATGAAGCACCAGACTAAAGCTACATAGAATTAGCCTACCGTCTCAATGTATATACTTGTTAGTGAAGCAAAGATCGAAGACGCACTCGAAGCAAGTGTTTCGTTTGAAATCTAGTCTGCTGATATACAATCTACAGCAAGAATCTTTGATTGTGCTCGAGCATGTGTAACTGTTTTATTTTATCAGCTGTATATGAAACCTTTACCAATATCATTCTTGAATTGAATTAAGATTATTTAGACATTACAGACTCAGATCGGCGATCGCAACTTAAATTTCTATGCTACTTGTTTCTGACATACATAACAACTTTCTGGGTTTTACTAGTGTAGATGTGTTTACAAAGGATGTGCTAAACCAATGAGCTGGTACCGATGAAAAGTGGAACACACGTGCACAAGCGTGTTTCTTCTGTCAGAGCTAGGCTGTTCATGATTCAATTGCTCCATCTGATATTTATAACAGCTATACGAACATGAGAAGCTCCGTACTTGTTGCCATACTGTTGAGTGCCTTCATGTTAGTTCACTTTTTTTTGCAGAGATTCTAGGGGGTGCTAAATCGTATCCATATCTGAGGAAATATCCGTAACAATATCTGTTAGAATACAGATATATTACTCAAATCTATAAACGATATGATATAATAATGGATATGGTTTTGTAGTGAAATATCCAGATCTGTATATGAAATCTCCGAGTACATATTGGTCATACTATTACAATATTTTTAATCCTTAGATTACGGATTTGAGGTTAATTTTGATTATTAAGATGTCTAATCTTAGCTTTTTGGATATAACGAATATATTAATGAACTTTTTTGTATCACATGAACTATATTTTGTTCAATATTATGTAGCTTTCTTATATCCGTTTTTTATCCGCATGCATATCCGTTTATATATTCACACATATATCCGTATTCTTATCCAACTGTAGCGGATATGGATATGTTAAGTATCATATCCCTGCCGTATCTGGACGGAATGCATCCCTAGTCATCAATTCATAGAGCTTGATGACTGAACCTAAGTAGTATTTCAACTAGTAATACTGAAATATATAAGAGTTGTTGTTTTCCTCTCGACATCCTGAATGCTGTCTGTATTCTATTTCTAGTTATGTACACTATGTCCTATTCTTCTTTTTTGATGGTTCTTTCTTTTTTTTGTTGTTAATCATATGCTTTTTGGTGATATTCTTCAGCCCTATCTCCCCCTTTGCTAACCTGAAATCTCAGTTATCCTGTTAGTCACATGTATACATCAAGTTGTCATGCACTTAATTGATTCCTCAATTGTTCCCGCAGAAAAAGAAACCTTAACAACCGCAAGACCGAGATCCATGTAATCCTCTACTATTCAGTGGAGGCCCTAAAAGGTACCCACCCCATCAGGATTTGAATCCTCGATGTTGTAAATTTTTTTAAAAAAATTCCTAATGTAGACTTTATGTTGATTAAGACCATTTAATTTATCGAACCATTTTTTCATATATATATTTAAGTAAACATGAGTTATCTTATTACCATGACTCAATGTTTGTGGTTAGGAACCAATTTAGAGTCATATCGAAAATAGAAAAAGAGTTCAAATGTAAATACAACTGTAATGTCTAGCTATCTATTGCTGTTGTTGTTGCTGCTGTTCAAATGGGAAAAAGAAAACAATGCTCATGCAAATTTAATGATTGTGCTGAAAGGTAGGTGACTCTAAGTACTCTCGGAACACAACGTATTTGGAAAGATCTCATGAATAAATTTCCAATCCAATTGATGGCTATCCATGAGGAATCAGAGACAAGCATACGGTACGTTTGGGTCAGGGAGAACTTAAATGCGTTCTCGTGGAAAATGCGCAGTCACAATTTGAGATGTACCTCCGTAGTTCTCCCGTCAACCGTCTCATATTTATGTCTCACCCTCCATGTGCCTTGTTAATAATATAATAAATATCATGGCATTTCAAACTCCGATTTCTTCTCCAGTGGTCGTTCTTTCACCGTTTGAGGGAGCATCTAATGATCTAGTTCATCGTGTTAATGATGTTTATATTGACTAGTTATCGTATAAGAAGGACTGATTTAGTGCTTATATTTTGTTGGTGCACTGTTAATAAAATTGAACAAGAGGTTCATTGATTACTCTTTCCTTGTCCTTTTGCATTCGTTGTAAACCAAACTTACTTTACATATTCAGGATGAAGTTCTATGGTGTATGTTGTTTGCTGAGGATGTAGTATTAATCGACGGACTAGAAAATGTATAAATACATGGAATGCATCTTTAGTAAGATTAAAAAGAGAAAATAGCCTAAAGAATGTATTGATGATAAAAAAAAAATCTAAAAGTAGTCACTTGTTATATATGATCAATCATTCGTCATGATGATGAGATTGATGATGATGTTGTCCATCGACTCAGATCAGAATGGTTAAAATGGAGGATCGCTTCGGGAGTCTTATGCAATTGTAAAAAACCTATGAGACAAAAGCTAAAATTCTATATATAAGATCAACTATACTTTATAGATCAGAATGTTGGGCGATTAAATAAAAATATATGCAAAACACGAGTACATCAAAAATGAGAATATTACACTAGTCTTGTGGGTATGAACTAAAAGATTGAATAAGAAATGAGTACATCCGTAGTGAATTAGATGTTGCCCCTATTAAGCATAAAATAAGAGAAAATCAACTAGGATAGTTTGGTCATGTACAATAGAGACATCTTAGTACATTGGTTAAGAAAGATGATATTATTATAATTAACGGGACAAATATATTTACAGGTAGACCAAATAGAACTTGGTTGGAAGTAATTAAGAAAAATATGATAATGATTAACTTAACAGAGGAGATGACTCATAACAGGGAATGAAAGAATAAGATTTATGTAGTTGACCCCAAATATTTAGAATAAATGCTTTGTTGTTACTGTTGCTGCTATCAAAAATCAAGAAAGAATTCATCTCTTAATAAAGAATAGATCTGCTTGGAGAGGAGTCCTCTCCATCCTAGCACAATCACCAAAACCCACCATCGTCAAACAAGCACATGTAAAGTAAGAAAAAAAAAATGAAAGAATCACAACTGTTAGATCTGCTTGGAGAGGAGTCCTCTCCATCCTAGCACAATCACCAAAACCCACCATTGTCAAACAAGCACATGTAAAGTAGAAAAAAAATGAACTTTGTTTAATCTAAGTTAGTTCTCCAAGTTGTTTCCCTGCACCAATGCTAGATTCCCTCAACTGTCAGTCACCATAAACAAATGAGACAAGCGCACCCATACTTTCACCAAATCCATTAAATGAGAAGTACTAAAGAACACAAACCATAAGGACATCCAAAATTGCTTAACTAAGAAACCATAATAACCATTTCCCTTACTTTTCACATATATACATATTATAGTTAAGTTTCCTAGATCAACTTCTCATTAGCAATATGAAACAAATTAGATTTTGTCACTGCTGCCTTTGAATGTCCTCTGGAGGAAGGAAGCATTCACTAGATAAACCAGGCACGTTGAACACCACATCATCTATGGACCAAAGCTCCTCCATCCGGGTTGAAACTTGCAGCCCGTAACCGAACCGAACCAAATTCACAATGGATCTACCTGAATGTGCGACCATCACGCCATCCACAGGGCGATAATCCTCGATAGACGAAGATATTGTGGTCTCCCAGTACATGACCTCGGCTCCAGGATACTGGATCCGGGTTAGCTGGGAGTCTTCGAGGTGGATTAGTAAACCGCTCCGCTGGCTGAAATAACCGACCATGACATGTCGGATTATTTCAGCCGTGCTATCGCTTCGATTCGATAGGGTTGAAGGATCAGTGTCCAGTTTGAGTACGAAACATTCTTCATCTCCGACTTGTTTTTCTCCAATATGTTGCGCTGGGCAGAAGACTGCTGCAATTGTCACGGGGTCTAGGCCCTATAGTACAGCACATTTGAGCCAATAAGAATCGAGCAAATAGGTAATATTGTTCATTTAAGGATAAATTACAGAAAATATCCCTAAATTTTACACGATTTACTGAAAATCCGACTAAGACTTGTATAGAGATGTACGTAATTTTTATGTTACAAAGTTTAATGGGATTTTCTGTTAATAGAGAGCTAAAGGCTAAATCTACTATACTATGAGCTTGCCGTAAAACCTTTAAGTTGCCAATATAAATACTATAGATAACTGAAATTGACAATATACAATATAAATACAAAGCCAAATCATTGTGAAATACACTTCAAAGTAAAATACCTGTGGATTTTGATATTTATTTCCAACCATATAAAGATGCTCGACAAGACAAGTTAAAAGTGACAGTTATTAGGTTGACATTGATTATTTAGATATCTAATTGAGAGATCTATCATGTGCACTGAAACAAAAAAAAAATTATGTTCATGTGGCAATAATATGAATAGGCAAGTTTACAAGTCAACTGCAAGAGTATGAGAAGCTGGAACAGAGAGTTGCAGCACATTTTGTAGCTCAGTTTGAGCCTCTAGAGAGGAGAGGAAGTGAAAAATACATAGAACTTTCTTTAATTAATGAGCAAAATTTATATTTAAAGAAGCCAGCTTGTCAGTAGATTTTGTCTCGCGTTTGCAGAAAATTAAAAAACTGACAGTACTATGTCAAAGAAGTCAGCACTGCTCACAACTCCCACTTTTGGTGTATGATTAATTTATAGCTAAATGATAACTATTTGCTAATTTATTTTTTTCATTTTTTTTTCTGTAACTCAAATTAACTTTTGTGAAGAACATGATTTTTGGACCATACCCGCCCCCAGTATCCTACTTACGATCTTATATTTGCTAATTTATTAGCTAATACTAACATGTTGAGGGGGCAGGTGTTGTTCTAAATCTATATATTATCATGTACCATGTGAGACCAAGATTTTATAGTAGTGGTCCGAGTAAAGAGAGGGGGGGACCATGAGAATGTGAGAAATAATCAATAATGAACCAATGAATGAATGAGAACAAAAAAAAAAAAAAAGGGCATAAAAAGCACAGAGGTGGCTAGCTCTCATGTGATGCAACCAAAAAAGCAAAGGCCTAAGATGTCCGAATAAAGTTGTAGACAATATAATTCTCCCAATATTGAGATCGTTTGCTTTTCGAGACAAAGGGGTGTGACAGTTCATTTGCCCACCCATAATTTGATCTCCTTTTGATTGAAAAGCCGTACGTAGGAGCATGGGCTTAATGAGATCACTATGTGGAGCTAGAGGCGTAGCTTTTTTAAGGGGGTGAATCCCTATGAATTCTAAAATGTCACTCTTTATTTGCTTTTGAAGAGAGTTTAATTTTCAGGGATTTACCAAGATTTGGTGACGAAAAGTATGGATGGAATTGAAGGGAAGAAAAAGTGCTAAAGAGCTGATTCTGTACTTTCGGTTTGTAAATATTACAATTCTATATTTCGACTTGCAAAATATCTCAGTCATTTTGCTACCTATAACCTTTAACTTTAGGGGGAAAAATTTTTTTGCTCCTTTTGTTCTAATTAATAAACAAAACATCTTGTTTTTCCAAGTTTTTCGTATTGCTTTCCTTTAAATTAAAATTTAAAAAAAAAACTCATACTTGCATCTATAAAAAATTGACCAATGTAATCCTCCTTATAATTTGAACGTGAGATATATAACAAACACTATTCTAACGAGAAAATTAAAGGCTTAAATGACTGGTGACAAGGGAATTAATTAATGCTTGCCTGGAGAACCCTCCTAAGGGGCCTAA